CCGAGTCGTGGGCCCCGTCTCCCGCCGACTAACGAAAAATCCAAACAGCTTGACCCCTCTACAGCGTGTCGCCGTCGGCCTTGCCCTCTCCGTCCTCGCCATGGCCGCCGCCGCTCTCATCGAACGCCACCGCCTCGAGACTCTACACTCATCGGTATGTTAAGTAAACCGTAAGATAACTGCAGATTCTCATTGACGGATCGAAAGGGTATTTCCGGGGAGCATTATTTGGTCAAAGTAGTCATTGAGCCAGCTTATCCATGTCTACATGTTTGGTGACCTCTCGAACAAATTAGTTCTTAAACTACGCTTAAAAAATGATGGGCTCCTCTAAGTAAAAAGCTTGGTTTGACCAACCAAATTACTTTTTCTACTGGTACAAATTAATTTTATAAATGTTCAAAACCAGCATAAATTATAAGCTTAAAAAAAATGGACCCTCACAAAGATGTTCGGGAAGATTTTTCTGTCTAGGCAAATGTGGGACTAAACACAAATACCTGCTTTTGTTCTTCTAATACACTAATTCCTTATGTTTTCAACAGGTGACACTGAGTGTGTTCTGGCTCGTGCCCCAGTTTTTCCTGGTGGGCGCCGGAGAGGCGTTTTGTTACATGGGACAGTTGGACTTTTTCCTGCGAGAGTGTCCGAAGGGGATGAAGACTATGAGCACGGGGATGTTTCTGAGTACACTTTCACTGGGTTTTTTCCTGAGTTCAGCACTTGTGACCATTGTTCACAAAATGACAGGTGAGAGTGGGCCAAGAGCTTGGTTGCCGGATGATCTGAACAAGGGGAGGTTGGATTATTTTTACTGGTTGTTGGCGGTGCTGAGCGCGGCGAACTTGGTGGTGTTCTTGGTTGCGGCGAAGTGGTATGTATATAAGGAGGCCAGGATTGAGGGTGGTGTGGAGATGGAGGATGTTGAGGCCACTTGCCATGCTTGATGAGCATGATGAAGATTCCTAGCTAGCTTCTAAGTTTTGAGATCCTTTAAAAAAAAGAAAAAGAAAAGAAAAAGAAATCAGAGGTCGATCTTGAAGATGAGCATTGGCTTTTTTTTCGTCGGTTGGTTTTGCTTATGGGTTGTTATATCATGATCTTGTATAAAAGGGTTTCATGAACTTATAATGCAAGAATGAAAATAATTTTTGTAAGTCTAATGTATTATCATCTACTCATCTGGTTGTAGCGTGCTAAAATCCATATGAAAAAATGGGGGATTTTATTTCACTGTAAAAGTAAGGCTTATAAAATGAATTATCAAGTGAAAAACTATGTGAAAACTATCTTCATTTAACTTGCCTTTGTTGTGTGAGATTGTTAGTTCATATTCTTATTGAAAGTGTTGAGATCCCGTGCTTAATCTACATGCAAAATACGCAACGAAGACAGTATGTATAATAATACTAAGCATGTAGAGAGCATGAAATACAAACTAGGACCATCGTAATTAAATCTAACATGATCCCTATATAAAAGAAAGCATACAATAGTTAGAAAGTCATACTTTCAAAGCGTGATTCGATGGAAGATCGAACAACCCCTACCTCTTGCTACTTGTAGTAGTAAATCTCCTTGTAGTGGATCTCCAATTCTTCAAGTGAGCTTGATAAAATCGGAGTCTTCTTAAGACACAATGAAAGATATCCACCTCGGGGTACTTCAACATCCTACTACTTCCTCTTACTCAAAGATTGCTAGAGTTTAGTAAGAGGTAGAGCTCTCTTTTTTATTCTCTTATGGAAAAAAAACAACTTAGCCAATTTTTCATTAAACTCTCCATAAGAGAGAGAGCTCATATATATAGAGTGAGATATCTCATGACTCATCTCATGAGTCATGCCATGAGTCAGCTAAATGTAATGATTCCTTTCATGAGTCATGCAATGACTCATCTCATGAGTCATGCAAAGAGTAATGAAGAATCAAAACAATGGCTAAAACCATATTCTCAAACCATACCACCTTAATGACTCATCTCATGACTCATTAATCAAGGTATAATGTATGTATTTCATAAATAAAAATATCACATCAATATGGTGTTTCATAAATACGGTATTTCGTAATTTTCTAATCATTAATTAATAAGTCATCATATGACAAAAAAGCTAATGATTTGACCAAAAGTCAACCGTTGACTAAAAAGTCAACCAGTTGACTAAAAGTTAACTTTATGGGGAAAATAGTGGAATTCATTTCTTGAGCGCATAACATTCTAATTTTACCGATACATATAAATGTATATGTGTATCCGGTGAAAATCATATATGTGTATCAATCATATGCATTAACTCTATAAATTGTATTCCATAGGATTCAAGTACACGCTTAGTGTGACTCTAGAGTCCAAATTAAGACTCGGCAGTGGATCATATTCACAAGTACAACAGAGGTGCTAGCTACACATGAAGACTACTCGGGTATAAGTTATGATAAATATATGCAAGATGCTTACACAATTTTATCAGGACCACTCGGTAATAATATTGTATAGTCTGGTCTCTTCGTCAAACCATGTCAAACTATAGAGCCTAGGGTATGAAAAAACTGTCAAACCCTAATAGCTCAATTAGTATTTGTTGATATTAAACTCATAACCTTTAAGATCAAACTGACACTCAGTTTATCTTATTTACCTTGGCTAATAATTTCCAAACTATATTTATATCAAACAATCTTATGACATCAACTCCCAATACTGAGAGAGACGAATCCCATCTTGGAATCTCAATATCTACTTATGTCTTAGGATGCATCCAACAAAAACTGTTATGCACAACTCAATGATAATTGTGGTTAGATAAAAGTCTAAGTACATCTATACTGACATGTAAGATATTGGACTCATGCCTCAGGTCAAGAGACTACTTTATACTATATCACTTGAGAACTTTTATTTGACAGTTAAGTATAATTACCAACTAGACATTCTCGGTGAGCCGTTCAGTCAACTCACTCACTAATGAGTCACCTGTATACTGTATCTTGATGTCTCAGCATCAATGATCTAAGAGATGGATCATCGTCCTTCTAAAGGATAAATAGAGTATACACTAGTCTTTACCTAAGTGATGATGTCCTTTCTCAACACTTCATCGACTAGGAATATTTTAGAATATACGTTAGCGACTAATCAGATCTCTTCTTTATTACGATCACTATCGAAATTCTGATAGTCTAGTATCATTCTAAGGACTTTATCTATATTTAAAATATCAGATAAATACTAACTAAAATAGCATACTATTATTTTGAATAATAATGTTATATTCATATAGGTCCTGTTACAATATACAATTATTGTCTGCAGAGCACCTATATCTAACAAACTCTCACTTGCACTAAGGTCAATCATTATAGTATCTAATACCTAATAGCTCAACAAGTTTTTTAAATTGTGTACAAGCAATTGCCTTTGTGAATGGATCTGCTATATTATCTTTTGTATCTTCTCTTTTAATCTTAATCTCTTGGCGATCAACTATCTCCCTAATCAAGTGATACATTCTCAGAATGTGTCTGGACTTATGGTAAGATCGAGGTTCCTTTGTCAGAGCTATTGCAGCATTACTATCACAGTATAAAGGTACTGGATCTTTAATGGTGGGAACAACTTTCAGCTCTGAAAGAAACTTCCTTATCTAGACAGCTTCTTTGGCTGCATCATTTGTCGTAATGTATTCGGCTTCCATAGTAGAGTCTGCTACTGTGTCCTGCTAGGAACTTTTCCAACTGACAGCCCTTCTATTGAGGGTAAAAACATATCCTGAAACATATTTATTATCATTGATATCACTCTGAAAGCTAGAGTCGGAAAAAGCCTTCATTTGGAGGTCACTTTTACCGTATATCAAAAATAACTCTTTAGTCCTTTTCAAGTACTTAAGTATATTTTTGATCGCTTTTCAGTGCTCTTCTCCATGATTAGATTGGTATCTACTTACCAAACTGAGTGAATAAGCGATATTCGGTCTAGTACATAACATGGCATACATGATCGATCCTACTGCCGAGATATAAGGAATTAGGCTCATGTGTTTCCTCTCTTCATCGGTCTTGGGAGATATCTTTTTAGAGAGGGAGATTTCCAGGAGATGCAGGTACGAAACCTTTCTTGGAATTTTCCATGCTAAACCGTTTTAGCACTTTGCCAATGTATCTAGATTGTGATAATCCTAATATCCTTTTAGATCTATCTCTATAGATCTGAATACCCAGTATACAGGATGCTACACCCAAATATTTCATGGAAAATCTTTTTGATAGCCAAATTTTAACCTCTTGTAATGATGGTATGTCATTACCGATTAAGAGTATATCGTCGACATACAAAATAAGAAACAATACTATACTCTCAGTTATCCTTTATACACACATGGTTCATCTGGATTTTTGATGAAACCAAACTCTTTGATAGCATCATCAAAACAGATGTTCCATCTCCGTGATGCTTACTTCAGTCCATAAATAGCTTTAAGCAACCTACATGCTTTTCGACTGCTCCCACTACAAATCCCTTTGGTTGACACATATATATACACTCTTCTAAATCACCATTTAGAAATATAGTTTTGACGTCCATTTGCCAGATCTCGTAGTCATAGTGAGCAGCTATAGCAAGTAGGATCCGAATAGACTATAGCATAGCCACTGTAGAAAAAGTTTTATCGTAGTCCAAACCAGATCTTTGACGAAAATCTTTAGCTACCAGTCTAGCTTTAAAAGTCTCTACTTTCTCATCTATACCCAACTTTTTCTTAAACAACCATTTACAACCTATGGGTATCACCCCTTTAGGAGCATTATCTAAGATCCATACTTTGTTGGTGTACATAGAGTCTGTATCACCCCTTTAGGAGCATTATCTAAGATCCATACTTTGTTGGTGTACATAGAGTCTATTTCGGATTTTATTGCATCATGCCAAGCAACAGAGTCCCTACTCTGAGATGCTTGCTGATAACTCAAAGGTTCGTCATCATCTATGACATGATCTAACATGCTACCTTTAACAAGAAAATCATATTGTCTCTTAGGTGCATGAGATCGCCTTGGATATCTACGAAATTGTTGAGGTTCTTTTGGTATAGGTGAATTTGCTTGTTCTACTAAATTATCAGTATTAATTTATATCTTTAAAATTTCTTTTAGTTCTACCATGCTCCCACTAATTTCTTTTTCAAGAAATTCCTTCTCCAAGAAGGTAACAAACCGAGAAATAATTATCTTTTGTTCATCGATGTGGTAGAATTGATATCCGGTGGAATTCCTTGGATATTCTACAAATTTACACAATACTCAGTGTGCCTCTAACTTTTTGGGATATTGCTTTTTTATATAAGCATGACATCCCCAAATCTTAATATAATTAAGATATGGTTTCTTCCCACTCCATATCTCATACAGAGGTTTAGGCATTGCTTTAATTGGAACCCTATTCAGTAAGTGTGCTGCTATTTCCAACGCATACCCCCAGAATGAAAAATGTAACTCAGCGTTACTCATCATGGAACGTACGATATCTAATAGTGTATGATTCCTCCTTTTGACACGCCATTAAGCTGTAGTGTAATTAATGGTGGAGTAACCTAAGAGAGAATCTCATTCTCTTTTTAAAAAACCCAAGAATTCCGAGCTTAAGTATTCACCTCCTCGATCCGATCGAAGAATTTTAACTTTCTTGCTCGTTTGGTTCTCTACTTTATTTTTATACTCGATAAATTTCTCAAATGCTTCAGACTTGTATTTTATCAAAAGCACATGTCTAAATCTTAAAAAATCATCAGTAAAAGTAATAAAGTAGGAGTAGCCACCTTTGACCATTGTAGACATAGGACCGCATACATCACTATGTATCAATCCTAAGAGTTTTATAACTCTTGTTCCAGTTCCCGTAAATGGAGTCTTGGTCATTTTGCCTTTATGACAAGACTTGCAAGTATTATAAGACTCAAAGTCAAATGGATCTAAATATCCATGCTTATGTAGCTCGCCAAGTCTTTCTTTATTAATAAGACCAAGTCAACAGTACCATAAGAAAGCATCGTTCATAACATAGTGCTTTCTTTTGTTAGTGTGATGAGTATTCAGAATTGTATTTTAATTAAGAATATAGATTCTATTACACAATGTTTCATAAGCAATCAACTTTTGATTAAATATGAAATTCATAATATTGTTCTCCAACTTGAATATATATCTATCTTTATCTAATAAAGATATAGATA